GGATTGAACTAGGTCACTCTCCAACATACCCTCATTCACCTTAGGTAGAGGTAGTCTGTAATCCTAATAGTAGTTGTTACCTACTATCAAAGCATCAGGGAAAACAAAAGTAAATGGGGAAGAAAACAAAGGCTTAGTTCTGAGGGGGTTTTTTAGCCTCCAGATGTATTTCTGGTGTTTGCATAAGCCTTCTTCCATTTTTGAAGGCATATACCTCTGAGAATTAGAAACAGAATATCTATCTTTGTTATTATTTATCTTCATTATTATTAGCAACATTCCCATTGCTTTCTGTATGCTCAAAAAGTTTGAAATGCTCTTTGTGAAGTCTGTTGATGCCAATTCAATAAGGGTCTTGTTTGAACAAACAAACTCAAGAGGTTAATTAGTATTTTAAAGTGACCCTTTTCTTTAGAAAAAGTAATATTAAGTCTCTTCTGCTTATTCCTTAAGCTATAATGGTATCTTTATTTTCTTAACTTCTATCTTACAATACATCTGGTTGGTTTTGCCTCTCTTTTTACATGATGTAGTTCTTCAAAAAATCTCTAAGAAAAGGATCTTTCTCTTTTAGCTTGTCTGAAGCCAAATTGACAAATACCATAATCACTCCAGAGCATTTTTTATGTCCTCTGTGTAGTCTGTAAAAATAAAATTATCTCTCTGCCTTAAAGAACCTGGCAGCTCTTCTGCTCTTGTCTTCTAACTGGTCCTCCATCATTGATTTATCCTTCCCTTTACATGAACCACTCTTCAGCGGTGCTCAGAGAAGAATGACCTTGTCAGACCAAACACTTGCATTTGTCATATAAAATACCAAGAATGCCAAGAACTCCATATCAATTTCAATACAAAGTACAGCAGCTTCTCCAGTAGATATTTATTTGCTTAAATTAACATAATACATCATACATGCTTTTACTATTGAGATAGGAAGCCAGAAACTAAAGATTCACATATATTTGGTTCACTTCATGAGCTGTGGCTTTAAATAGGAACTCAATGTTCTACATGAAATAAATATGCAACACATTATTTGCAAAATCTGTTAGGAGTACAAAATGTTAGCTCTGTTACATCTTGTTCAGCTAAGCAGACATGACATTTTCAAAACTGTTAATAATTATTAAAACTTCTAGGAGTAATAAATACAATACTTATATTACTTCTTAACTGTACACTCAAAACAGCAGAGTTCAGCAGCACCATATGAAAAGAGAAATCAAAGAATAGGTAGTAGACAAACACAGAGCTGTAAAAAGGTGGGTGCAGTAGCATTACTTGGTTTTCCAGTTATTTGTTTTACAGGAAATAGCACAGCATAAACTTTAATTGTGGTATTATCACAAAACATTTTACCCTTTGAGCTTCTGAACACAGAGCACCTGTCTTTGCTGTCACAAACTGAAGGCTGTCTGGCAGTGAGGAAAACTCAGTTTCACAAGGCTAAATCCTTGTGGCCAGACAGAAAACACCTTGCTCCAAGGTCATGTACAACTTCTCTTTCTCCGTAAGTATATTGTCTATCTTCACCCTTAAAATTTACTAGCCCATATTTTGGGTTTTCCACACCTACTCTGTGCTCCTAAGTATCTTGCAGAACTCTCCCTGCTACTCGTAACATCAGAAAAGCCCCTAACCTAACAAACCACATGCCTTCACTTGCCCAGGCTCTTTGTGGCAGGGCAAATTTATCTTTTCCTCAGTGTGACTTCTGAAAGCATCTCAGCTGTGCGAGTTTGTAGCCACTCTTATTTGACTTAATGCTCTCTGAAAGGATGAAAGAAGGCTGCAGAAACAACACGAGGAAATGGTATAGATGTGCTTTTATATAGAGGTGGTGGAGATTGGGCTTTAGTTTCATATGTCCCCATAAACTGAAAACACAAATAACAGTGAATAATAAAGGCTTTTTTCCCCCCCACAACATAGCTAGAAGACAATAGATAAAAACTCACATTAGGAATGAGAAAAAGAAGAAAATATATCCCCCAATGTCCAGGACACAGGCAATGTCTCTATTGGACTTCTGAGCCTCTACACAAGGCAAAATAAGGAAGCTAATCCCTTGAAAATTACAAATGGGAAATAGCTTCATTATGAGAGCAAACTTCTATAAAACATTTTCAAAGCTATTAAAAAGCAAAGGCTGTTACTGTCTGTTCCCGCAGCAGTGCCAATGTAAATAGTGTGAAAATAACTTATGTTTGAAAAGCAAGGTGCTTCACAATGAAGGCTGTTATTTCACTTTGAATTAGTCCCTTGAGGCCTCTTTGTAACAAGTGTCTTAGACCTATCTACATTATGTTCTACAGCAGGGAGGACTGTCATCTCATAACAACTTTGCTTGGGTCACTTGGCAATGTCTTCTTACCTCAGTAATAATTTTGTTTGTAATTTCTCTTAGTGATAATTTACAGTTTTAAAATAGGTCTTTACTATTCTGACATGAATTAGACTTGCGTGTTTGAGAATTACTTAGTATGACTTTGTGTCTGGACATAATCTCAAAGTCTCATTGTGAAGAAATATCCTGCTTTCTAGTAAAATACAATGAAAAGAGTTCACATTATGAATTACTTGCAAATACTATTGCCTTTCTGGGGATTTTTTCCAGCTGTCTGTATGTGCTTGTCCAGTACTTCTGCTCCAGTAAGAGTTGGACCTGTAGAAGTGGATAAATTGACTGCAGTGACTGTGGTTGAAGGAGTTTGGATTAACCATTTTGACAACCCAGAACTGTCTGCAGTGATTTCCTTTCCTAAGGACACATCTGGCACATTCTCTTACAAGGTCAGTAAGGAAATTCCGGACTGCATGCTTCCAGTAGACATAGTTTTTGCAATCGCAGAATCACATAATCAGAGAAGCATTCAGGTAAGAAAAGACTTAAAATGTCATGAAGTCCAAGCTTTGACCAATCAACACCTGGTCAGATAGACTAAGTGCTACATCCAATTATTTCTTGAACAACTCCAGGGATGTCTGACTTGTTGCCATTCTCTGGAGCTGCTCCAGCACCTCAATATCTTTCTTGGAGTGAAAGGCCCAAAACTGGAAAGAGGATTTGAGGTGTGGCCTCACCGGTGCCAAGTGCAGCGGACAATCGCTGCCCTGCTCCTGCTGGCCACTCTGTTGCTGGCACAGCCCAGGATGCCATTGTCCCTCTTGGCCACCTGGGCACTGCTGGCTCAT